TAAAAAAATGTGAAATGACACCAGGGCTTCTCATGTAATTCCATATTGCTGAAAATAAACATCGTCCAGGTCCAGTTCTTCAATTCAGGTAAAAAAAATCTGTCATTGTTTTTCGATAGCGCAATTCATTCAACTGTGACACAATCAGCTTTATTTTCGAAAAAAAGCTTCGTTTTTGAGTCTGGCTGATCGAGCACATGTTGGGTTCTTAACATTGCTAACCTGGCGAGACGATCAAATTTATCGATTAAATTCATAATTGTTGGAGAAGGCGCTTCTCTACGACCAAAAAATTGGTATGGATTTTGCGAACTGTCTTCGCGAAATTTTTACGAGTGTTTGTGGTGAGTTTTCACTATTTCTATGCTTTGCTTAATCGAATATCAATCCATTGTTGTTAACCACATAGTTTTTATTCGACAATTGTCAAATACGACAACTCCATCTATAACAGATAAAAATGCTGCGAAATTTAAAATGAAACCTCTTAATGGAAGAGTGTATTCTCCCATTCGGATTCGTGTCCTAGATCTAGTCTATGGTCTGTTATCACAGAACGACTAGACTTGTTTTATCGAATGTGATTACGATATATTGTAAGTCTAGTTTTTAGTTGTCTACTCATTTGTCCGACATACGAAGCATCATAATCTTTGCACGTGATTTTATAAACTACGTTTCTGTTAGATGAGAACGTTTCTGGAAGAGAGAATCTTTTTGGACTTTTATGAATTTATGTAATTTGTTGGAACTGTAAAAAGAAACTTTGGTGTCTGTGCTAATTGTTGAATTTTGTAAATTGTTCGAATTTTTCTATAATTAAAGGAATGAACGGGACTATGAACCATGTGGTTCGGTTATCTGAATTTTCAATGTTAGGTCTTAATATTTTAGTTTCTCGTTACAAAAGACTTTAAATTCTTTTGTTAATGGTGTCGAATATAAATTTTTGTGGATAATCATTCTCAATTAAGATGTTGATAATGAATTCTAAACTTTTTGTATAATATTCTTCATAATAATATTGCTTTGTCTATTAAACTTATGATGGTACCTCTTTTTTGAGAGATGGTTAGAATAATAATTTAAATATCTGCTCGAAAAACTTTGCTTATGGTACCAATCAATACTTAAAAATTTTCCTCTTTTTATGATAGTGACATCTAAAAAATGTAATGAGTCGTCTTCAACTTCTAACGTGAACTGAAGATAAGGATGAAACGAATTAAAACATTGCAGAAAAGAATTTGAGATGTCGCGTAAATAATCGTCTACATATCGATAGAAGAACGGTAGCTGATTGTTAAATGACAATAATGCACTACGTTTTAATCTCTGCAATATTAGATCTGCAATGATGAGTGACAACGGAGAACCCATGGGTGTGCCGAAGCTCTGTTTATATATAATTAAAAATAAAAAAATGTGGAGTCAAGAATAAATCTGGCTACTGTCAAAAGTTCATCTTTCGGTGGATCGCATTTATTCGAGAATTCCCATTGTCGTTAACAGAATCCATAGCTAATTCTACAGGGACATTTGTAAAGAGCAACACTATGTCTAATGATATTAATTTGTAATCGTCCTCAATTATTATTTCTTTTAGTTTATCAATTAATTGAAAGCTTTTTTATGACTCTCTGTTTTTGTTTATATGATATTGTATGACATTGTGATACATGATATGAAACCGGTTAAAGAATGCAACAGACTGTCTATTGAAGAAATGATAATTCTAAGAGGATTGTCGAATTTGTACTTTTGACATTCTATAAGCCGGAAGTAACCCATCACTGCAGTGTAATTGTTTATAAATTGAATTATTGATGTAGTTGTTTTTCTTCTATTTTATTAGTAAACTACCAAAAGAAGTTGTGAGTTTTTTAATAGGATTTTTAACAATAACTTCATATGTGTTTGTATCTTGTAGGTCTCCTAGTTTTCTTTCAGTCTATATTTATAATTATCTTTTTCTAATGTTACCATGATATTATCTTTATCTGCAAAAAATTTCAACATCCAACTATAGGGTTGTTTTGTTTAAAACTTTTTTTTTTAAATAAATATTTAAAACATATTTTAAACATCAGATTAAATTAAACATGCTTTTTTTAAAACAATTTAAAACAAATGTTTAAAATGTTTTCTTTATATGTTTTTAATACTATTTAGTAGAGGAGAAAGTAGCTTCCCAGTTACATTTTACCACGATAACTTGGTTTACTTAGTTAATAATGAATATTTAAGTTTAAAATTTGACAATTACATTCGTTAAAATGTGTTGAATCGATTCTGGATACAAAATTACGAAACATTTATTACTTAGGACACTATTAATAAAAATGTGGCGACACCATTGCATAATCGAATATTGTGAATCGAAGAGAAACATGGATGATAATGTGGCCTTCTATAAAAATAGTATATTCTATAAAAATAGTCTTAAAAAGTTAGTTTTGTTTAGAAAACAGCAGTTTGCAAAATTAACAAAAAAGTAGAATATTGCAAAATGTATGCATGTATGCAAATATGTATACATATACACATACATATAATATAACGTTATGTACATATAGGTACCTCATATAGGTACACTAAAAATCTATAATAACGTAAACTATAGATTAATATTAGAACTACAATTAGATCAAGGAATAATTATTTTGATATATTGTAAAAAGAAACCATGAATAATCAATACACATAAAGGAACACATTAGAATGCCATGCTATTGTTTAAATTTGCATAACTCAAAATATATACAGTTAAATAAAATGTTAAATAGCAAACAATTATACATAAACATACTCAAATATACATATATTCGTGAGATAATACGCTTAAATTTAAGAAAAATGAGGAAGTAAGTGTTATTAAGTGCTAAAATGTACCTCAAAAATGTTTCAAATACTTGAAAGTAAAAATTCGTTATAATAAGTGCTGGCTATTGAGTATTGACATATTAGCATTATTAGAGTCATGGTATACAACGGCATTATTTAACAAATAATTTCATAAATAATCCTTAGGATTCGCTATGTAACAGATATAAAGGCAGGCAATATTTTCTGTTTTAGCCATAACTACATAATACTTCTCCTCTACTATATTTATAAATTTGTGAAATATTAAATTTGATTAAACTATTAAATAATTTTAATCTGAGTATATAATATAATAAAATTTATTTCTCTCTGTAGATATGTGAAACATATAGACATATTTGCGTATCTATAGTACATACAATACACATACATATGTGTGCGCGTGCGTGTGTAGTGTATATTTGATGTCATTACTTGAGACGATCTTGAGATTAAGAATGAAATACAGACTTTAATATAAAATATAATTAATATATATTATATATATTTTATATTTGTATAAAACGTGTTTTTTTTGTTTTAAATTATTTTTTTCTAAAGCTGTTTAAAACAGCTAAAATATATAAAATATATTAAAAGCACGTTTGAACAAAAAAAAGTGAATGTCTTGTAAAGAAAAAAAAACCAATTTTGATCAATGGATAAAACCTGGATAAAACTAGTAATTTTTACTGTTCAATGCTCATTTGTTCATGTAACTGCTTTAATTGCTGGCTGAACAATGAATTGTATATTTTTTTTCTATTTCAAATATATATGTAATTAGCTATTTGAGTGCTAAGAAGTGCAATCATGTCTTTTTTTATTTTAAATCAAATCATTTCTTTACTCCTTTATTATGATAAAGGATTAACAAATTCTGTTACTTCCTTTTGTTATCTCATTATTGGACATTTACTTTGCATTAAAGAATAGTTTGGTTTAGTAACAGCTAATTGTACCTTAACAATTAAAAATTAAATGTATTAACCCTCAACATATGAGTGGGTCATTTGGACCTGGGTGAAAATTTTAGTTTGTCGCTATTTTTATACGGTCAATATTGTAAAGTTGAAGTGAGGGAGGGGGGGAGGGGGTAAAAAACTTGGAACCTTTCTCTGTCGATTACCGTGATGCAATTGTTTCATTATTGTCTTGACGCTAATTGTGCAATAAAAGTTTGGCTTGGGTGACTTGGACCCGTCAAATGTAAGTACGATTTTTGCCGAAAAATTCGTTTTTAGTAAGTGCCTGTTTATTAGTGCTGTATTCAAATATATAATGTCAAATATATAATATATGATGTCTTCTTATAATTGAAACATATATTCATTGTAAAATAAAAACATTTCTGCCAGAGAAGCGTGAAACGATCTATTTTTCTCAGAATTATATTATAAAATCGTGAGTAAATAATATCGAAATCATTGTATATTTAATATAAAATATTTTCATTGCATTTTTTTTAAAGAAAATACTCATACCTCCGATATCATTTTCCGAGCATGTACAAATGCTCCCACTTCAGTCGTGCAAATAATTATATAATATTTTTTGGGATGAATCAATATAACTTTTTTTTCTTAAAGTTTACGTTTTCGTCTTTTCAAAACACTACTTATTTTTATTTATATCTTTTTTTATCATAAAGATAAGATTTTTTGAAGAAAACTGATTATTGCACTTTTTTCACAAATTCTTTAATATTTTTTGGCATAACTTTTTCCATTATTATCAAAATCTTTTTATGTTTTGATATCTCGATTCTATACATTCTGGCATTTCATTAAAAAAAAAATATATTTTCTATTGAGATTTACGATAATTACGGAGCTAGTTAAAAACGTCGTGGGTGACTTGGATCCAGACATGTAAATTAAGACTTTAAAACGAAACATGTAATTGAGAATTAAGGAAATTAAGCTATTGTAGAACTTATTTGAACGCTTATTTCTTGCATTATTTCGTCAATTATCTCTGGTACTTAAACGGTTAAACAATGACGAATTCAAAAGTTAAGTTCATAATCAATGAATGAAAATATCAAAATATGTCATAATAGCAAGTTCTTATAAATATGTTTAAAATATACAAGAGAAATATAGATTAAAAAATATATTAATTAAATTATATAGGCTATCACGAAACTAGGTTGGATGGAACCTACATTAATACAAGACAAAGTGATACCTTTGTTATTGGAAGGAAAGGATCTCTTAATCAAGGCTCGTACAGGTTCAGGTAAAACTGCCGCCTTTGTAGTACCGCTTATTCAGAAAATATTGATAAACAAACGGATACAAGAGAAACAGGAGATCAAAGGCCTGATCATCGCACCTAGCAAGGAATTGTGCAGGCAAATTCATGATGTTATTGTGAGCTTAACGACAAAATGCTGTAGGGAAGTCAGAACAATTGATCTTAGTTTACAAACGGATTTAAATGCGCAAAAACTTTTACTGAGAGATATGCCAGATATTGTTGTGGTTACACCAGGTCGATTGCTACAGCATTTAAAAGCAAAAAATTTAATGCTGAAACATAGTCTCGATACATTAATAATTGATGAAGCTGATTTGGTATGTCTACTACTCATATAGTATAGAAGTTACAAACATTACAAATTAAATTTAGTCAGATTCATTTAATACATAATTATAACATTGATTATTACAGCTATTTTCATTTGGATACGAAAAGGATTTAAAAGCTGTATTAGCTTATCTACCAACGGTATATCAAGCGGTTTTGGCTTCTGCTACATTGTCTGAAGATGTTCAAAGTTTAAAAAAATTAATTCTTCACAATCCTGCAATTTTAAAGTTAGAAGAGCCACCATTAGCTCCTCCTACACAATTGGCTCACTATACTTTGGCTGCAGAAGAAAATGATAAAGCTGCCATTTTATATGCTTTATTAAAACTACATTTAATTAGGTATCTTACACATAGATAAGTTTAGTAAAGTATATAATATTTTTTAAGAAAATGATGTTTATGAATCATTGCAAAAATATTATGTGTTTTTATTTTTCATTCAGAGGCAAATCTATAATTTTTGTACATACTGTGGATAGATGCTATAAATTGAAATTATTCTTAGAGCAATTTGGTATTCCAACTTGTGTTTTAAATTCCGAGTTACCAGCAACTTCAAGATGTAGAGCGGTTTCACAATTTAACAATGGCACTTATGATATTATAATAGCATCAGATGAGAAAATATTGGAAGAGGTAAGAATATACATGTACATGGAGAGAATTTTTTATTATATTTTATCACAAAATTCACTACACATTTTATTATATTTAATATTAAACATGAAATAATGTGGCAACCAATTCATTTACATTACTCTGTGAAAAAAAATTTGTCTTAACAGTTTGAGCTATTTTTAATACATATTTACTTTTGCTGAACATGAATTCATTTTCCAACTTTGTCTATCACGTCACAATTTTGAAAAATACTCATAGCAAGAACAAAGAATGATATTTTTGAAGGTTTTTATGACGTTGTAGCATCGACAGGAAAATTTATATGAAATTTTGTTAATACTAAAACATTACAGGCGCGCGCTTCGCGCACACTATTGAGCATTTAATAATTATATATATGTATATATATATATATGTGTGTGTACACACACACACACACACACACACACACACACACACACACACACACACACACACACACGTGCATGCGTTCGTGCTAAAATGTTATTTTCATTAATATTAAATCTTTACTATGAACGATCGCATGTTCCGAGTAATCGAAATTAGTGCCATTAATCATGTTTTGTTAAAAAAACGTTTTGCGTAAAGATGTATGCCATTCCATCGAAAGATGAGACAAAAGTAGTAAAATATGTGGCGATGCTTTATCATACAATAGATCAACATCAATATTAAACAAACACAAAATTCAAATATAAACACAAATTATCTTCAACTCTTATAGATAAATGGTTGCAAAGAGGGAAGAGGCAAAAGGCAAAAACCAAAAATATTACTAAGGTCTCAGTGGTCTATAAGCTCAGGATGCTCGCACGGAATGCAGGAGATCCGGGTTCGACTCCCGGTCGAGGCAATATTTTGTAGCGCTTCGTATTTAAAGTAATTTTATGCTTTACTTAAACATTATTTAAGTTCCGACATAACTAAAATTTTTTTTTAATTTCTTTGAATTATTTTATAATCAGTTTTCTGAAACCTATTTTACATTGTGTTTTTTCTTTTTTGTTTTTTGGTTTTTGCCTCTTGCCTCTTCCCTCTTTGCAACCATTTCATCGGCAATTGTACAATATTTCTTGCTATGTATTTTGTGTTTCTTTCGAAGTTCGTTAACTTTTATCAAGCGACATAAAAAACCGAATAAGGAGCAAAAAGACAAGATGTAAAAAATAGCAAAAAGCAAGAGAGCCATAAAATATATATCTGTTCTTGAAAATCATCTTTTTGAGACCACTTAAAAACCTTTAAATTTTTATTCTCCCTCCCTCCTTCCCTCTCTTATTTGGAATCGAAAAGATAAAATCCAAGTTCGATTCTGCTTCGTTATCACATTTTTCATTTTGCATTATTAATATCATTACTCACCGACATATAAGAAATTTTCTGTCGGATGTAAGATTTAATTTTTTCCGCTTCTATATCTTTTTTTTTGCTTCGTATAAGAGAAGTGATTTTCAGTTGTTCGTTTCTTTTTTCATGGCGTTTTCTGAGAATTTGAATTGATGTCGATGGAATTGGAGATTCAATAGTTTCTTCCAATGAGTCGGCTTCAACGCCACCAAAAAATAGAGAACTTAAAAAATATTCTTCGCAATTCTCATTAATTACATAAAACTATACTGAAAAAAATTTAATAAATTAAAAAATATTTGTTTAGATATTACTAAATAAATATTTATTAAATGTAAACATACATTTATCTGATAAGAGAATTAATTTAATTTAAGTGTAATTTTTTTATTTTGAATAATTATATATTTATTTACTGTAAGTAAATATTATGTAGGATTATTTAAACAATTATTTTTAAAATTTTTATTAAATTTTTGTTAATGAGATATGAGAATTAAATATAACAATTATACTCGATATCTTTTTCCCAAGTTTACAAACGTTCTTTACAGATTTATATAAATGATTATCGATTTCTATCAATTTATATAAGAAAAATTTTTATACCTGGACTCATCATCTATAAGAGTTGAAGATAATTTGTGTTTATATTTGAATTTTGTGTTTGTTTAATATTGATGTTGATCCATTGTACGATAAAGCCATATATTTTATAAGCTGCCTTTGTATCTCATCTTCTGATGGAATGGCATACATCCATATGCAACTTTTTCAATAACAAAATATGATTAATGGCACTAATTTCGATTACTTCAGGAATATGCGGTCATTGATACTAAAGATATTAATGAAAATAGTATTTTATTGAGAAAAAAACAAAAAAACTGTACGAGTAAATTAAGGGTAACATACGTGTCATCGGGTAATCTAATACGAGTACCCAGATAATATGATTAACCCTTATACACCTTTGGATTATTCGTATCTTGCATATTTTTTTTCTTTGAAGTACTAAAAGCACCTGGTCAAATATTGGTCTATTTTCTATTCCTAAAATAAGTTTGGCATGTAAATAGAAAACAAGTTTTGTGCTTTGGCTGCCTCAATTTGTAGGTATCCTTTATATATATATATAGAAAGATCCTAAAATCTGTGTTATCGACTAAACAAATGTATTACAGATTATAAATACAATTTTGATATTTCTTTATATGAGGGAACACCTCTTCGATTGACCTTGATATATGTTATAGAAGTGAGAGTACTGATCAACTTTTCTTTATAAATTAATCGGTGGTTTCTTACAGTTTTCGAGATATATTTACATAAAACTCATTTTCAAAATTTCATTATTTTTTTGTATATCACCCGACTTTCCACGCAAAGCGACTTTCACCCCACCTTCCCCTTTGCTTAAGGGGCGTCCGACTTTCATTTCCCTTGATAGAAGGGAGTCAGTAAGGCGAAGATCTAACTATATTACAAATTATAAGAGACCGCCGATTAATTTATAAGGAAAAGTTGATCAGTACCTTCATCTTTATATCATATGTCATGGTTAAGGTAATCTAAAAGGAGTTCCCTAATATAAAGATTTACCATAATTTTTGCATAACAATTACTTTTTTCTTTCTTACTGATTAGAAAATCCTTTTTTAGGATTAAAGTATATGCGTTAATACATGTCTGCGAGGTGGAGTCTATGCTGGGAATTAAAAAAATTTCGAAATTGAGACCTTTACCATTTTTTACAAGGGACGTTTCACAATTGTTCGATACCGATTTGATTTCTCCATGAAATGTGTTGTTAAACACAAAAATCTATAATAAAAATACTTATTTTTTAATACGTGCCCTAACTCATGTTTAAGGAGCGAAACACTCCTTTGAAAAAAAAAATCGTATTTCTCTTTCGAGCTGAATATCATCGGAAGTATAAAAGATGGAAAAAAATTTTTAAATAAAAGTTATGGTTTCAAAAGTACTTTAAAGTTGTGAGGAAAAAAATTAAAAAATTGTTTACAGTATACCAGGGTATACCCTCGCCACTCACAATTTTTTCAAATTTTTCAAATTACAAATTAGATTATTTTTTCCCAACTTCAATCGTGTATAATGGAATTACATTACAATATATCATTTTTGAAAATTAATTATAAATGTTTCCGTATATATATGTTATCTGTGCTCATAAGTAATTATTGTTGAAACAATAAGATAAAGAAATCGAATCGATTATTAAGGAAATTAATATGATTGATATTTTTAGAATTACAGATTGTAAATAACATTAAGATAGTTTTTATTATTTTTCCTTAAAGTGAGTAAAACTTTTGTTCTTTATTCATCTCTGTATATTATTTCCTTATATCTTAAGATTATTCTGTTAAAGTTATTTTCGATATTACGCTTTAATATCTTATTTATTTGTCGTTTACATAATAATTTTTAAATATTTACACAACAAATTTATATTTTGTATCATTTACTCATTACAATAATGATACTCGAAGAAAAAATGATTTAAACATAATGACTTTTTGCACTATGAATATTTTACTATAGCTGTATTATTGTAACCTTTGATATCATATCTTGTTGAAGTTTTGTCAAAACTAAATTCTATAGATTTTCAAATTCTCTGACTTTTGTTTATATAACCATTTTTAAACCACAAATATTTAAATAAGTTGTGATATCGTGGGAATGACAATTGATTGTGTATCAGAGATTTTTATTATATTATTTTGTTCATGCAAATTTATATTACTTTTCAATAACAAAATATTAGGTGTATGACTTTGCTTATACCTTTTTCGTATAGATGGCTTTAGCAGTAAATGGTGATCGAAATAAATAGATCATAGACGTTACACAATAAACTTGGGCATCTGTCAACATAATCCCATAGAAACATTAGTCAATTTGTGTCTGCATCATAAAGTTATTCTCGATTGAAAATGTCAGTTTACGAGTCAAATTCTTGTCATTTGCTGGAGGTTTTAATTTTCTGCTTCAATATGAAGAAATCTGCGGCTGATCTGAGGCTCATCGAATGCTCTCAAATATTTATGGTGAAACCGCTATTAGTGAAAGAACGTGTCGTAAGTTTCAACGCTTCAAGAAGAGTGATTTTCACGTCGAAGACCAGCATAGCGGTGGAAGAGAGAAGATTTTCGAAGATGCAAAATTGAAGACATTATTTGATCAAGACTCTTGTCAAAATCAAAAAGAATTAGCACGATCATTAGGAGTGACTCAATCAGCCATTTCAAAACGTCTCAAAGCCATGGGAATGATTCAGAAGCAAGGAAATTGGATGCCGTACGAGTTGAAGCCGAAAGATGTTGAACGGCGTTTGTTTGCTTGTGAACAGGTGCTTGAAAGGCAAAGATGGAAGGGCTTTCTGCATCGCATTGTGATTGGGGACGAAAAATGGATTCATTACGATAATCCCAAGCGCAGAAAATCATGGGGAGTTCCCGGCCATTCTTCCACGTCGACGGCCAAACCGAATATTCACGGCTCCAAGATCATGCTCTGTATTTGGTGGGATCAGCTCGGCGTAGTATATTATGAGCTGTTAAAACTGACTGAAACAATCACAGGCGATCAGTATCGAACGCAATTGATGCGTTTGAGCCGAGCATTGAAAGACAAACGGTCGCAATACAACGAGAGACACGATAAAGTGATTTTGCAGCATGACAATGCTCGACCCCATGTTGCGAAAGTGGTCAAGACATACTTGAAAACGTTGAAATGGGAAGTCCTACTCCACCCGCCGTATTCTCCAGACGTTGCTCTCTCTGACTATCACTTGTTTCGATCAATGGCACACGACCTGGCTGACCAGCACTTCCGGTCTTATGAAGAAATAAAAAATTGGATCGATTCGTGGATCGCCTCAAAAGATGACCAGTTTTTTCGACGCGGGATTCGTATGCTGCCCGAAAGATTGGAGAAAGTAGTGGCCAGCGATGGACAATACTTTGAATCATAAATGTATAACCAGTTTTTTACAATAAAGCCTCGAATTTCGGAAAAAAACGGTATAAGCAAAGTCGTACACCTTATAATATCTAAAAATTTTTTAGCAAAATTTTTCCAAATTCTGAATCTGTAGACATTTAATGGTTGTATTTTTCCTGTAGTGCCTTTTAGTACAATCATAGTAGTAATATGTTTTTCTGCACAGGTAATCTGAAATGATATTGGACAACGTCTACGAATCAAAAAGAAGAACGCTATTAGAAGCAATGTTTGGAAAATAATTTTCTTCTAATCACATTTCTTACAGATCATTTTATAATGTTCTGTAAGAAATGATTAGAAGATAATTATTTTTCAGAAAATCATTAGCTGTTTTTTGCAAATTAATGGAACCTTCTAATGTTTTTATAGTTACAAATTTCATAAGTTTTCTCGAAACAATTCGGTGAGATTTTTTGAATCTTGATATCTAACTGTGAGATGTTTTAAATATAGGATTTAAATTTTCTATTTCTTAAGCTTTGTAAAATCCACTTTTTTTTAGATCGATATCACTGTTGGATCATAATTCATATGCGTAAATTTAGATATGTAAAATAATTTTTCTATATGATTTTCTTGATTGTAATTGTTTTCATCGTCTTAATTGACATACAGATGAAACTCTTTTAAATTTACTTTGCATTGATTTTAGAGGACGATTTCTATTCTTGTCGTTATTTTTTTCATTAATGTTCCAGTTCTGTCAATACTCAACAGCTCATCTTTAATAAAGTCAAAGTCTGCGTCATTATTTTAACATTGAGGATAAGAATTTAAATTATCTTCATGCTTCCTTGTTATCTTCAATTATTTCAAAACTATTATGTAATTTATAAAGTTCTTAGTAATCAAGACAGATTTTTTTCATTATTTCCAATCCATTATAATATAATAAAAAATGCTATTCAGCAATTTTTGTACTGGTGTTTTTCTATTAGATTGAAATTATAGAAGCTAATAATATTAAGCGGATTGATAATCTTTTTAAAGATGTTTAACTTTGCTTTGTATCCTAACAGAATAACAATTTAACAAATTGCAGATATGATTATAACAAGACGACTGCACTAACTGAACACAAAACTGCTACGTGAATATACATATTTATACGTCCACTTATGTCACAAACTCTTCAGACGTGACATTTACCAACAATTCAATATACTTCTAAATGCGATAGTGGTTTCTAAATTCATTTTTCAAAGATTTAATTTTATACAATAATTTTATTATAAAAAAATGGATTTCGAATAATAAAATTGTATAAAATCTTTAATTTTTATTTATGGGAAAAATTAAATATTAAAGAAATAATAACAGGGTTAATATATATACATATATATATATATATATATATATATTAACTAAATCTAAATAAATTAATATTTATTAATCTAAATACATATATATACATATATAATATACAGTCATAAAGTATATAGAAATCTATACAATTTTACTTAAGACTCTTGAGTAGTCACCACAGTCATATTGAATCGTTAGAATTGAGAAATAACACGTTAATTTTTATTATATGCCATTTATGCCAAGTAAAGACATTTGGATAAAACAAAATGATGAGATTGCTTTAAAACATTGGTAAAAATGGACGAAAACTATGCTTATCTCCCTTGACAGTAAATAAAATTGTAAAAAGTGATAAAAAGCATGTGAGTGAAAGCTACGTATGCATATTGAAAAAAGCACTTAATGTGCGACATTGCCAAGTTATCGATAATCATTGAACATAAAACATTAAATACTTGCATTTTCTAATATAATAGAATATTAATACTATGATTCAAAATTAAAAATTAGCAATCAATGTAAAAATTTAATTTTAATAAATTATAAATTAGTCTTTCTTATTATTAAAAGATTTTCATATAAGATTGATATTATCAATATAGGACAATAGTACTCTCCTCGCCACTTACTTCGCAAGTGATCGATCGTACATCCTTAACAACATATTTCGTTGAGAATCAAATAGGTATCCGACAATTATGAAACGTTCCTTGTTAGTCCAATATGGCGCTCCAGAGCTGTTGTGTCGTGACAACATTTCCATATAAAAGCTATGCAATCTGTATTTAAACAGACTAGTAGTTTTCATGAAATAGTGTGGAATTCTAAAAATTGGACTTGTACTTAAAATGTAATTGTTATACGGAAACTGATGTGTATGTGTGGCGTGTGTGTGAGATATTGATACAGTAATGTGTCAATGACACATAAATCGTCTGTAAGTGCTATTTTCAATATGATTAATCCAACTAATCTTTAGGAATCCCCTTAACTAGAATAACTTCTAAGTTCACATCTGTGTCACAAATTACCCGTCGTGTGTATAGAGTGTACGTTTTTGTATGTAAAAATATTTTTTTCTTTATTTTTAACTAATTCTCATTTATATTGCGGGAATATTTTGCGAATTATTAAAAAAAAGAATTTAACTTTAGAACAACATATTAGCCCTTAATAAACACAATGATTTTTTACATCCTTGTGTTAAAAATCTTGCCTGTAATATTGTATAATATATAATATTATATATTATATATTATTTATATATTATATAA